CTAGTGAAGCCACTGTTCATCCCATATGGACCTCTCATCATACATCGTTGCTTCATTGTTCATCTGCGGCTCATCAGTTCATTCGTTTGATCATCTTACAGCTAATCACAGCCCTTTTCGACTACTTATTTTAGTCTTACTTATCAGAATCATCGCTAATTCGGACAATTTAAAGAGATAAATATGAACCATTCGGGTAGGAATTTCATTTTTTGAGACACCGGGTCCACGTATAGACTTGAGGTCCTTTTTTTGACCATGTCATGTCATGTTCATGTCTAGCGTTCAAATTCGAACTGTATTTCAATCACAGACTCGAAGTGCTGTCACACTTTTAACGATAGAGCATTATGGATCAGAAGCCTGGGCTGTCTGAGAGCCTCAAAAAGGTTACCCTGAAACTGGTAACTCTTCGGTTCCTTGCTATCTGCCTGTTGCTGTAGAGGACACATAGCACATAAGCAGTTTCCCACACCGTGCACATTCCCAAAATCGCTGTGGAGGGGCGCCGGACTGCCAAGTGTCTCAAGTCACCTTATCGTTCACAGTCTCAAATCGCCGGGTAGCCGAATCCGCAGTCGCTAGCGACGGGTGCCGATCGAAAGCCATCCACTCCTTTGGCGCGCTGCTGCCGAAAAAGACGACTTTCCCAGATTACTGATCGGTCAGTCGCCGCTGTCGCCGGATCGATACCTATATTTTCGTTCGCAATTAGGCAAATCTCCGGAGTATGAACGCGGCCTTACTTCTGAGCAGGGTCTAGCGTAGGTCCGGGAATCCGCAATGCGTATTTGGCTTCTTGAGAGGTGTAGGGGACAGTGTTTATGGTACACGGGGGTGAAACTTTCCGTGGAACCGCTCTTCTCCTGCTATGTTCCTACAACGACTTATGTTTTCAAATACCTTCTGTGCCTGACTTCCCGTTTACTTGCGCGAATTTTTTCTGAAGTGTCCAAAGCTGTTCATCTTATTTGAAGACTACTTTGGTAACATACTTTCAGCCATGGAAGAGTTCCGGGCGGAAACCACAGTGGGGCTCATTGCATGTTGTCAGTGTGGCTTGCCAATTCAGCCAAATGCAGCCAATATGTGTAGTGGCTGCATTCGTTCCAAAGTTGACATCACCGAAGGTATCGGCCGATCAGGTTAGTTAAAGATTTCGCATTTTGTTCATCACTGCTAGTCGTCTTAGTATCCTATTCCAGCGACCATCTATATATGTAAGTTTTGTGATCGCTATTTCGTACCTCCAAGTGGTTGGATGAGAGCAGAATTGGAATCAAAAGAGCTTCTCTCGATTTGTCTCAAGAAGTTGAAACCACAGCTGTTGAAGGTAAGTTAAATCATTTCGAGAGAGAGAGAGAGAGAGAGAGAGAATAATACTTTTTAGGTACGCTTGACCGACGCCTGTTTCGTGTGGACAGAACCCCATTCGAAGCGAATAAAAGTGAAGCTAACCATCCAAAAGGAGGTCTTCTCAAGTACAATATTGCAGCAAACATTCATTGTCGAATTCACAATCCACAACCAGGTGAGCGTCAGTTCTACAGCCATTCTTTCATATGTTCTGCTTCTGAATGGATGAAGTTTTCGGAATCGGCATCCTTACAGTGCTTGGGGCCAAAGGGATGAACTGGCAAGACCCCTTGGTACCCGCGAGTCATGAACACAATGGGGGCACTAGCTCCTCTACTATGAGGTAGCGTTCATACTTCGTGACAGCAATGGCGATCGTCGGTACGCGTCAGAGAGCGCCCACTTGAACCGTTAGCTGGGCGGCTTCGAACGCTCTTAGTAGGAATGGCTTAATTTCCTGCTTTTTTTTTCTTTTAATTGCAATTGACTCAGGTACTAGAGTTCGTTTTGACTCAAGGAAAGGTGGATGAAACTTAATGGCTTTTCTTTTCTATTTTCTTTTTTGATTCAGGATAGAAATGAGCAAAAAGCAAGGGGCTTCATTTAGGGTAAGTTTCTTATTGTTTCTTTTTTCATTCTTCGAGCTTATACATGAACTTATAAAGTTTCCTCCTCGATGTTGCATAAAAGAATTAGTGTTCCGATTCCTAGACGAGTTCCCTTCTGTTCCTTTTTTCCCGTTGTTTGAACTCGACTTGTAAACTATAAATGTTTTGGAAGTTGAACAGTTTGGCCAGTAGGAAAGTTTCAAGACACTTATATAAATTGAAACAATGAAAACAAAAGAAACAAAGAGAAGCTCACCTATTAAATGAAGTTGCACTTATCCCGGCCTAAATAAAAGGTGAAACCATCTCCTCCCTTATATTCCAGATCCTCTTAGGTAGAGAAAGTCCTCAGTTTCCAGCTAGTAGCCATTATTAAGAGAAAAAAGGTATTACAAGTTGGATTTCCTTATTTATCAAAGCGAGCGGTCCAAGTAATAGCGTTGGGGCGCGCTCTGACGCGTACCGACGATCGCGGCGATCGCCACTGCTGTCGCGAAGTATGGAACGCTGCCTAATGGAGTGGCTCTACCGTAGTTCATGATGTAGAATGACTTAAAAAGCATCTCGAGGTTGCGGTGTTCATACTTTGCATCAGCTACCACCAGCTCCACGACCGTCTCGATGGTTACGGAAGCAGTCGATCTAGCTAACGGCAGTGTCTAACAGCGTCTCAAGGGACCAGTGAAGTATAGGTATCGATCTAGTGCCAGTGAAGTATAGGTATCGATCTAGCGAAGGCCAGCGTCCTGCAGCAGCGTTTTCGGCCGTTTTGCTCAAGTTTAAAGCTGGCCGCGGAAACAATGCTCTTTGCTAGTGGACGCTGGCGTTTGCTAGATCGGTACCTATACTTTACTAATTCCTTGAGACACGCAGCGATATCCATACTTCCTAGTCGCTGGTAAGACACTGATGCAGAACTACGAACATTCTCTAAAATGCCTTGCAGCATCTCATGCTTCCATAGCCATTGCACAAAGAACACTTCGTAGAAATCAGATGAAAACATTTAAAACGCACTTTGATTCATTTTTGAGACAGTTTGTTCGAAGTGCCGCAGGATTTTCGTCCCACCTGGTACTAGAGAGAGAGAGAGAGAGAAGAGAGAGAGAGAGAGAGAGAGAGAGTGAGAGAGAGATGAGTGAGTGAGGAGGTGTGAGTGTGTGGACCCCAAAAAAGGGATGGGGTCCAAAACGTCGAGCGCAAAACGCAATTTGAACGACTGAGTTCACCTCAATTGGCAACGAGAGATTCAACACTTGCAGGTATAAGAGATGGAGCTTTGCTGCAAAAACTGTAAACACGTGTGGCTTTCAGATGTGTGACGATTGTCGTCGAGCAGAGGCGAAAGATTTCTGGCGAGCTTGCGTCCAGGTCAGGCAAAAAGCCGAATTTAAAAAGAGTCTTTTCTACCTCGAGCAGCTTCTCCTCAAGCATGGTGTAAGCAATGTCTTTGGTAAAGTTCGACAAGTAGCGCTCAAGCTTTTAACACTGCTGGCCTTTTCATTCTAGTATAGTATTATATTTTCGGAATTTAGATGTTTAGGCTCACAGTCAGTGTACAGGGGTAAAGCCTGTTCCAACCGGAATTGACTTCTTCTTCGCCAAACTCCAGGATGCTAGGAAATTCGTTGACTTTCTGATGGCAGTTTTACCTTGCAGATACCACTATGCTCAGGTAGCTATATTGTTCGTTGGTAGTTATAATTTGAAACTTTGGTATTTATCAGTCAATAATTTCCAGGAACTGGTGTCACATGACACGAAGAATAACACTTACGATTATAAGCACACTTTCTGCGTGGAAATCGTTCACATATGCAGGTTCGCTCGTTCTTAGCAATGTACCGCGTTCAGACTTCGCGATCCAATCGGCGACCCGATCGTGGAGTCTGAACGCGGTCTTATCTTTCAATTTCTATTGGGTGTTCCAAAAGAAATGTTGTTGCAGGGATAACATAGTGTGTATGCCGAAAAAAGTTGCTCAGCATCTTGGTAATATGAGTCAGATCGCAATCTGTCTCCGTGTATCTAATGTTATTACTCTCATTGATCCAAGTAACCTGCAAATGGCAGATATACAAGCGTGAGTTCATTGATATGGAAGTTTCACGTGAGACTGATAATTTATGTGCAGAACGTCGTTTTGGCGGGATCCGTTTGATTCACTCTGCACCCCTAAACAATTGTCCGAGTTCTTACGTGCTTGACGTAGAAATAATTGATAATTTGGACAGAAAGGTTAGTGGATAGGCGCTTTTGTTTGGGTTTCTAAAGGTTTTGATCACAACTTTTAAGGCTGGTCATGGTTTTGTCAGCAAGAAGCATGTTCTGGCAGACGTATGGCTTGTGAGGAGCCACCAGGTAATCATGTTTCAGCGCTGGTAACCTTGAGGGTTCATGTGATGACTCCTTGTGCAAAACTATGACCAGCCTAAAAAG